GGGGGGGGTGGGGGGGGGCGGGGGTGGGGGGGTTGTTTGGGGGGGGGGGGGTGCTTGTGTGCGGGTTTGTGTCGCCATGCGTGACAACAGTGATAAAAAAATATATCGAAAAAAAAAATCTCAGTACAATGCAAGGGACCAGAGGAGTGCGAGCGAGGGAGAGACAACATGTTACTCGCGAGAGGTGTCGAGAAACGTCAAAAAAAGGAAACACACATCTTCAGAGGTCGATCGATATATTTCTCCTGCTTCCGACACGCTTCCGACACCGCACAAAATCCATTGTTGCTGCTACTATCGTTGTCGCAGCTGTTGCCAACCCTCGAGCAAATCCGCTTCCTCCAGAAAAACGAAAAAAATTAGGTCCAGGCCGGAATGACTCCAATCGTCGAAACTGTGGTCGAACTACAGAACATCGAAGTGGTTGTCAACCTGCCCTGCCTGCCCTGCCCTGCCCGTTCGCTACCCGTCGCTCATACGCCTGTCTGCGGTCCCCCTAGGCACCTTCTTTCTCTTTCGACTCACGTACGCCAACAACGACCGAGGCCGATACTGCAAAGTCAAACTTTGTCGGCGAAACACAAGCTGTACCATCGCATGTGGTGCAGGAGTGGTGTACAGTATGCATGTCACAATTTAATACTTTCTTTCGCTCTCTTCTTTCTGGATACATCTATTCTCGACACGCCGCCCGAGTGTATATACAACTCTTCGGTGCACAGGGCGGTTCGGGTCTACCGGCACAGGGCGACGCGCACGGACTGATTATTTCTTCTGTACAGAAGCCTTCAGCCCTCCGCGGCAAGCTTCGCGAATTCTCCTCCCTGAAAGTCCAACGTCGCTCACTCACTGACGAAAAGCATCCACTGAACCTCGCACCAACACGCAATGGCAAGTGGCCCGTTGGCCCTCCAGTTTGTCTCACCTTGACCTCTTCCGCCTTAGCCTTGGCCTCCGCCACCTCCTTGCTCAGACGTTTCTCTGCCTCTAGTACTGCCGCAGCGAGGGCAGTGGCCTGAATTCACCACATCACGGCACACGATATTTCACGACATGACATGTACACACAAACGCAAGGGGGCTTGACTGAAAAGACTCTTCATGACATCTGAAAACAACCGTGTAAGGTTCTCCTCTACAAGAGGCCTACGGTAGCAGTGGCGGCGGAGGTGGCGGTTCCGCCACCAGCTTGACCTCTACACACAATAGCAAGGGGGCCTGGACTAAACGTCGTTTCAGGACATGAGCTGTACACACAAACTGCCTAGACTTCATTTTCACGTGGTGTGGGACAGAGCGGGGGAAGTCGTGGAGGGAATGAAAGGGTTCGAGAAAAAAACAACGGAGCAGTCCACTGCGAATGAGCAGCAGAACAGTAGTCTAGTCTCTCGCATCACCCCCCCCCCCCCCTCACGGGATCCCAGATGACGACCTCGTTTTCTGTATTTAGCCGCGCTGAGGCTGACTGACGTGTCTTGATTGGTCAGCCAGTTACCGCGGTCCATGCTAACAACAGCAAACACAAAAATACACGTGGTTCGAGTGTTTCACCCCGCTGTATTTCTATTGGTCAGCTGGCTAGCGCGCTCAATGCCAAAAACATGCACGTACACACACACACACCTGTTTGCTCTCCGCGTCAGCCATTGCCTCGGCCTTCTCCTCCTCCAGCTTCTCCTTGAGCTCCTCCAGAGCCTTCGCCTTGCCTGCCTCCAGCTCTTCGGCCACCCTCCCCACCTCCACCTCCTTCTCGGCCTCCTTCTTCTTAGCCGCCTCCTCCGCCGCCCTCGCCTTCTCCACCTCCGCGGCTTCTTTGGCTTCCTTCAGGGCGGCCTCCAGCTCGGCGGCGGCGCGGGCTTCTGCTGCTGCTGCGGACTCGTTGACGGCCCTGATTGTTTTATTTTCGTGTGGAGTTTTTATGCGCCCAGGAGCGTATGGTGTTTGTTGCGGTGTCGGTAGAGTTGGTAATTGGCAGTCTAACGGGATTACTAAATAGCGTTTGGAGATGGGTATTGAGGCAAGGTGGATGTCGTGGAGGACAGTGGCGGCAGCTTCAGCGTCAAGTGGAGGTGGTATTGCTAATAGAAAAGGTTGATGCCGGCAGGCGCTAAGTGAGGAGGAACAAGAAAGAAAAAAAAAACGGCGGGAGGGCGGTACATATTGCAAGACATGTTTTTCAAAGACGCTCGGTAACCCTGCCGTTATGAATAGGTAGCGGGGAAAAAAATGCGCCAGCGGTACGTACAAGTTTCCGCGGCAGAGACGCGCGTGGGCGAGCCTCGGCCCTCTTGCACACGTGCTGCTGCTGTGCCGTGTGCATGATTCCGCACAATGCCAACAACGACAACGACGAAAACGGCACCAACACCGGCAACCACAACCACGACGAAAACATCCAAAAACGGCATCAACAACGAGGACGGAGGCGGCCGCCACGACGATAACATGACCAGCATCCGCAACAGCAACAACAATGGCAAGGAGGAAGAGGAGGAAGAGGAGGAGGACTCACCGCTGCATGGCGGCCGCGTGACCCTCGGCCGCGACAGACAAGGCAGAGGCGCTCTCTTCGGCATTCTCTGCCTCCAGCTTTTGTCTGCAACCGCACGTATACACAGATCGCGTCGAGAGGAGAGTGGGGGGGGGGGGGGGGGGGGGGGGGCCCCCCCTCCCCCCCGGGGAAAACAAAACCAAACCCCGGGGAAAAAAAAAAAGAAAAAAAGCCCCCTCCACCCGGGGAGGGGCCAAAAAACACAAAAAAAAAAACCCCCCCCACCCTCCCCCCCCCGGGTTTTTTGGGGGGGGGGGCCTTTTCCCCGGTAACAGGGAGAGGGGGGGTTTGGGTGTTCCCCCCCGGCTTTCCCCCCGTAAGGGGTTTCCCCCCCCCTGCCCGGGGGGGAAAAAAAAAAGGTCACCAAAACCCGGGCCCGTCCCCTTCCCCTTTTG